CGTCTCCGTTCTTGTCACTGGTTGGAGCTTAGAGCTGCCAACGGTCTGACTATTCCTTACCTTGGGTTCTTGGAGCTTGACGTGCAACTTTGTGGTAAACCGATGCCCCACTGTGGTGTGTTGGTAGTGAGGGACCCACCTGGTGGGGTGCCTTCTACAGTGCCGGGTATTTTGGGGATGAACGTGATCCGCAAGTCCTACCAGGAACTTTTTGGCCAGTATGGTGAAACGTTGTTTTCCCAGGTCTGTATCTCAAAGGCCCCTGAGCCAGTTGTGCAGGCACTGCAACAGTGCCATCGTGTTAGCGATGTCGCGTCCCAGGATGTTCCAGGGAAAGTGAAGGTCAGGGGGTAAGAGGGGTTGGCAGATTCCTGGTGGGGTAATGAAAATCGTGGCAGCCACATGTTCTGAGCAGTACTCCGGGTCTACGGTGCTGTTCGAGCCTTTAGAGGCTGGTTTACCTGCTGGGTTGCTTGCTTCCCCTTCTTTGGTTCGTGTCATCAGGGGCACCGCCTACATACCTGTCATTAATGTTGGCTGTAATGATGTTGTTTTGTACCCCGCACTGTTGTCGGCACACTGGATTTTGTGAATGTGGTCAGCCTTCCTTCCGGGGTCACTGAGGGGCCATGCGGTGTGGCCACCGTGTCTTCTCAGACCGCTTCCCCTAGTGCGCAGCAGGTGGATAGTGTGGATTTGTCACCTTTGTCTGTGGAGGAACAGGGTCCAGTGAAGTCCCTGCTTAAACAATATTCCTCAGTCTTTTCCATCGATGACACTGATCTGGGCTGTACAAATCTCATCTCCCATGACATCCCCTTGGTAGACTATACTCCAGTGAGGCAGCGCCATAGGCGCATCCCACCCTCAGAGTATGAGGTTGTGAAGGAGCACATCAATCGGCTACTCTCATCCCAAATCATTCGTGAGAGTAGCAGCCCCTATGCGTCCCCTATCAGTGGTTATCACCAGGTGCCAGTCACTGAGGCTGACCGGCCGAAGACTGCTTTTTGCACCCCTTTTGGTTTGTTCGAATGGAACAGAATGCCTTTTGGGCTCTGTAACGTGCACCGCGGTTAATGCAACGCATCTTCGGTGACCAGCAGTGTCAGTCCTTGCGGTTATATCTGGATGATATTGTTGTGTTTTCCTCTACTGTGGAACAGCATGTGGCTCCAGGTGGTGCTGGAAAGACTTCGGCATGAGGGCCTCAAGGCCAAGCTCAGCAAGTGCTCATTCTTTCGCAAAGAGGTGAACTATTTGGGCCATGTGATTTCGGCCGACGGTGTCTCCACAGATCCAGGCAAGATTGAAGTGGTTGCCAATTGGCCGATTCCCACTACTGCCTCAGAGCTTCGTTCCTTTCTTGGTTTTGCCAGTTACTATCGGCGCTTTGTGGAAGGATTTGCCAAACTGGCAGCTCCTCTGCATAGTGTTGTGGCTGAATGTGGTGGCACTAAGACCAACAAGAAGACTGAGCAGCGGCTGTCTAGGTGTTGGAATGATGAGTGTAACCAGAGCTTTGAAACACTGAAAGCTAGGCTCACCATGGCACCGGTGTTGGCTTATGCAGACTTTTCTCTTCCCTTCATCCTGGAAGTTGATGCAAGCCATGGTGGCTTGGGTGCAGTCCTTTCTCAGGCTCAGGCAGGCAAGGTGAGGCCTATAGCCTATGCTAGCAGGGGCCTGCGACCCACCGAGAGGAACATGGTAAACTACAGCTCCATGAAACTCGAGTTTTTGGCCCTTAAGTGGGCCATGACAGGGAAATTTCGAGAGTACTTGTTGGGTAACAAATGTGTGGTGTACACTGATAACAACCCCCTTAGTCATTTGTCTTCGGCTAAGCTGGCTGCTACTGAGCAGAGGTGGGCCGCCCTGTTAGCTTCTTTTGACTTTGAGATAAAGTACCGATCAGGGAAGAGCAACACTAATGCAGATGCTCTCTCCCGTCAGCATCCACCTGGTCCCCAGGATGTCGCTGCGATGCTTCCAGGCACCGTGATGCCCAAGTCTTTGCAGCAAGCTCTGGGGTTGGGAAAGGCAGAGGCGACCCAGGCTGCCATTGCCGCCTTGCCCCAGCACACTTATTCCGAACTCCATCTCGCTCAGCAGTCTGACCCTGTGATACAAGAACTGTTGCCTTTTTGGAGGGAGAACCAGCATCCCAGTTGTGAGGAGCGGGCAGCTGGTGTTGCTCAGGCAGTGGGATCGCCTACTGGAGAGGGACGGTGTCCTGTACCGAAAGGTGTGTCGTCCTGATGGCGCCGAAGCCATGTTTCAGTTGTTGTTGCCAAAAGCATGGATAGATCAGGTTCTGACCCAGGTGCACCAGGAGCATGGTCACCAGGGGGTGGAGCGAACATTGGCGCTCCTTCGGTCCCGATGCTACTGGCCCGGTATGTCTTCCGAGGTGGCTCAATGGTGTCAGAGATAATGGTTTTCACTTATATTTATGTAATGTTGGAAGAAGTTCTGTTAATAGCTTTTACGGGTTTCTCAGGTGTGAATATGCATGCAGATCTCATCTTAATCCTCAGCATGATCTTCCCTTCTCTGATTTAACCTTAGAAGATCACATCACATGTACTCAATATTCTTTAAGCACTCACAAACTGATAGATCTCACCAAGGCACTCACATTTTATTGCTAAGACTAACACTAAATTTTGTCCTCTCTGTTGTGTTTGGTAGGACTGTGGACCAGGGTGCGGATTCAGATCACTCTAGGCAGGTTGAGGTCAAGGGTTTTATTCACAAAGAACTGAGTAGAAGTGGAACTGTGCTTGAAAAGGGCAGGTGGGAGCAGGGGCAGGCAGGTCCTGAACAGTGGCAACCAGCGCTCCAAAAGATCCTCCAGGCAACACAAAACACTCAGGAATCTTGGAAAGGAGAGAAAAAACACAAAGCTTTAGTTCTGGTCTTGACAGAGAAACTCACTCTAAAACTAACCAAAAACTCTAGAGACTAAATTGGCCTGAAGTACTCAACCATGGGTAAGGAATAATCTGGCGACGAGTCTCAGGAAACCCCACTTCTTAAGGCCAGGCACTGATGAGGATTGCCAGCAGGTGTGCAACTCCACCAGGTGATCAGCTCACTGCCAGGCATAACTAACACACACACACACACACACAGAACCACAGGAGAAACAAAAAACTAGGAACACACCCCCAAGTGTCACAGCATCAACTGTGACACTCTCTCCTCTATGATGAAATCCCTGCATCATCGCTCCAACCCATTGGTTGGCTCCCTTGTTCATCGTCGTTGGTTGCAACCCAGGACGAGATCCCGGGTCTGCTTAAGATGTGTGACCTCTGCTGAGCTGCGGCTTAACGCGAACACTGTTCTTTCCCTACCTCCGATTGGTGCAGCTACGACCGCAGCTGTCATCTGCCTGCATTAACCAATCTACCAAGGCTATGTCAGGCTCCACAAGAAGGAATTTTGATTGTGCAAAAACTCATGAGCTTCTGCTCCCCTTAATGCTTTTAAAATATTTATCTGCTGACACCCCAACTGGTCGAGGCAGACGACCACCCACCTAGAGCTGGGGTCTGTCCTAGGTTTCTGCCTCTTAAAAGGAAGTTTTTCCTTGCCCCCGTCGCCAAGTGCTTGCTCATGGTGGTACTGTTGGGTCTCTGTAAATGTTATAAGGTCTAGATATTCGGTCCAGACGTGCTCTATTTGAAAGTGCCATGAGATAACTTCTGTTATGAATTGACGCTATACAAATTGAATTGAATTAATCATATATTTGCATATCAGGTGGTTGCTGGGTTTAGAGTATCTATATCTTTGCTATATGCACTCTAAGCCTGGATAAGTTGAGTTTACTTGAAAAATTTGAGGAAACCAGTTGCCTTAAAAAATGTAAGTAATGTATGGTGAAAACTTAAGTACATCTAACTTAAAAAGCTTAAAGGTACTGGAATTTCTGTTTTTAGTTCAGTACACTAAATGCCAAGTTGATATAACTTTAAATAGTTTACAGGTGCAATTGTATTGCACAATTATTACACTTAATATCTTTAAGTTCAATGCAATTAAGTCCAAGTTGACTTAATTCAAACTCACTTGTAATGTTCATTTATTTCCCCAGTTAGTATCTTCAAGGTGTTGTGTGAACCTTTAAAAAGTGAGAAAAAGAAAACAACAAAGTGGCATTGCTTTTGTGTTTTATTTAACTTAAGAAGTTTTAGCTTCAATGTCAAGCTATTAAAATTACAGTAAAATGATTGTATTGTTTTAAAACTTAACTTAAAACTCTGAGCACTGCACTGTGCTACAGGATGGAGACCCATGTTTTTAACAGATGACCCTTGAATCATTAGCCCCTGAGACGATATTTTGCATACAACATTAAAACAAATTTAAAGTCCTAGAAACAATCTTTATCAGTTGTTTTAACTTTGGCTGATTAAATACGTTCACACTAACATTACAACAAATTACATCAAAATTCTCTGTAGAAAAAGTGTGCAAAAAAGTCTGAACAATAAGCTTCAAACTGTAGCAGGAAAATTCTTAACCATATCCAAGTTCACAATACTGCCACTGCTCACTTCTTAATGCTAGAAGTGGGTGGATATAGAAACATCAGAAGTATTTTCTTACAATTCCGAAAACAACAAACATCTTTTTGAATGTAATCGAACCACAGTATCAGTGCCCATCTATAACATACAAAGTATAAACATAAGCAGCAACATGTCAGAAGTGCAACATTTCAGCCAAGCACCTGATATCTGCACCAGTCAGGAACCAACTTTACACTGAGAGCTGGTTTTTCAAAGACTGAATTTTGGGTGCCAACTGACTTTTACCCAAGCTGAGCATCACCTGCTGGACAAAGGAGAAAGTATTTTTCATGTACTTGGGATAGTCCAGGTGCAGGGCGTAAATCAACCCAAAAAGGATGCAGAAGGCCTGAGGAAGGCTGGCCAGGTCATCCATCACAAGACTTCCTTCCAAGACGATTCCCACTTTGGATGGGTTCAGCTGTGGGCTTTCTTCATCAATACAAAGGAGTCCCACTGGAGTTTGAATGTATGAGTCCTGGTCAGTTGCATCCTAAAGGAGAAAAGAAACAGACCAGCAAAGAGGAGACAATCAAGACAGTTAAATAGTACTATGTTGTACACAAAAACTGCCTTCAGGTGTACATTTAACCCCCCCCCAAGAAAATAAACTGAAAGAAAGAAAAAAACACACTGCATATACAGGATGACTCCTGGCTCTGTTTCCTTTTCATTTGTATAGCCACAGTGTTTTCAATCCATTTCAGTCCATTTTGTGCTATTAATCAATCATACAGGTATTCAAATTGTTTGTAGTAAAACTGTATTTGGCAAAAAAGAAAAAAAAAAGTCTGAAACATTAATTAATCCTATAACATATGGTATTCATTTATGGTTCAAAATGAAAATGGGCAGAAACAACATGCATCTGCAACATGTTCAACAAATTGATTTACTTACAGAGCATGTTTTGAAGAAGAAGGATCATCCCCCAAGACGACTGGAAGCCCTCGAAGGCAAAGACATTCAATGTCTGTTGGCTCAGTTGTCTGGGAGATAATGGACATTGAATACAACACACAGTAGAAGTAACAGTTATTAAGGATACTCACATGTATTGAAAACACAATTTTACATGTAAGACGTGAGGAAAGAACAGAGGACAAGATAATGAGGGGTGTGTGTGTGTGTGTGGGGGGGGGCAATATGAAAGGGAAGAAATAAAAAGAGAAGAAAACAGACAAAGGAATTAAAAAAAGAGCAACAGTGAAAGGACAATAGAAAAGAAGAAAAAGGAGACAGAAGATGAGAGGTAAATATATGAGATCAAAAGATGCAGAGGTAAGGAATGAGTTGTGAATGAATAGAAAAGGGAGGGAAGAATAGAGCAGAAAAGGGGAAAAAGGATAGAAAAAAACAAGAAAGGAACAGAGATCAAATAAAAAACTTCACAAGACAGGGATAATGTGGACAACTCACCTTTGTGTGACGTAAAAGCTCAGCCAAAACTTGACCAGTAAGGCCTCTCTTGTTCTTGAAGAGGTCCATCAGACTTGGAGAGAAACGGTCCAGTGCATCAAAGAAGTTTTCTCTGAGATTTTTCCCCACCACTCTGCTGAACTCATAATAAACCTGAAACATAGTAAAACAATATATCAGCACATGGTCAAATATCCTTATGACACCCTCAACACAACACATGGGTGACGCAATATTTAATGGTCAACATTACAGTTGAAACACACATATTAACATTTATAATGAATATCAAAACCATGCATACAAACCTGACTTTCTGTGAAAAGAGCAGGCCAACTATGTACCATCTGGCTGATGGCAGGCTTGTCTTGGACAACTTCCTTTCTGCGAAGAGCAAATGTCATATCCATCTCTTTATTAACCAGGGACCCATTCGGCTTTTTCTTCATCATTTCATTGACCAGAACCTGACGAGCTTCCTCCAGGTTGTGTTCCTCCTTCCCCTCAGGAAAATCAGGCAGGAAATTTATTTCCCCTTTCCTTGGCTTCTTGATGTCTTTGTTGGGAGGGTCGCCACTTGTAGAGTGCCTTCCGCGTTTACCACCATTGACAGTGACATCAAGTCGACCGCACTGGCGCATTTTGGTTCTATAATTACCCATCTTGAACTTGAGACTGTTCTTCCATCCAACCCAGCCAGAGGGCGACCCGGTTTCTTTAAGGCATGGATGTGTTTGCACTAAAGCTTTTGCAACAGTTTCAAACTCTTCGTTTGTTGGGTATGCTTTATATGCATACATTGTCTCTGCCAGTTTTTCGAGGATTTCATGTTTCAGTTCTTTTGTCACTTTCAGATAGGTGGCATCCCTGAGATACAGCAGGTTACCTTGACGTAGTCTATATTCGACATCAACTGGAAATTTGGGGATTTCAAATACATCTGGCGACTGAGAACTTCTGTCTGAAGAGGAGATGGACAGGATATCTGTGTCTGCCTGGCTGCTTGTGTCACTACATGTTTCATGGACTGGTACAAGTTCAATCACTGGAATGATTTTGATAGTTGGTTTCTCAGGGAGTTCAGACAGATCGGTGAGGTTACACAGTTCATTGTTAAATTCAGGATCTTGGTATTGCAAGTTAAAGCTGTAGCTTGCTTGGAGAGTGCCTTTGAGCCAGTCAATCAAATCTTCAGGTGTGTCTGGTCGTGTTGTCATTGTCAACTTTCTTATATCTCCCTCGGTGACAATAACTCTCATGGTAAATTTCTGTTGCACAGCCATCTGGAGAGAAATTATCGACAGTTATTTAGCAAATAACAAATCGTCTCAGTGTTACCATAAGCTCTCCTTGTACCCTGTACACTGATAATGGGAGGACATCGTTTAACTCTGACATCTTAACCACATACATAGAGGTGACATCATCACAATGAAGTTGGTAAGATCTCAAATGCTCACAGTACCATGCTGTCATTTTGTGGCATACAAACAGAATCTCTGCATCAGCTGCAATAATCTTTTCAATCTGGGCAAATTCAGGTAGACCTGAGCATGACCCAGCAGAAAGTATCATGTTTGGATGATACTTTATTCCATCAACACACACGGATGACGCATTAAGCACTGATCCTGGTGTTCTTATGTTATGAACAATTGCTGTTTGTACATTAGGAGGGAAAGTGCAAAGCAAAACTGGGGTAACCTGTGACATCTCAACTGACGGTCTGAAAAAAGAGCTACAATCAAGGTGGTAACTGATTGCCCGCTGGTGCTTTGTCGCAAGTGTCATGGCAACATTTTTGAAGTTTTGTGCAGTGCGAATTGCCCTTTTAAAGAACCAAACCTCAGACAGGGGACCAAACGTCCTGATAAGCTGAGGGTAATGTTCCACAAAGTGGTGTTTTGGCCTCAAACGGAAATCTGGGAAGGTTAGCTGTAGCAAGTGCCTGTGCTCTGCAATCTTGCAGTCCAGGAAATGCAGTGTCTCCTCAGTATGCCTTGGTGCTACAGCTAACTCCACAATGTCCTTGAGAAGCATCAGGATTTCCCAAGTGTTGTCACCCTCAGGGACATAGTGACCAATAAGAAGTGGAAGGAGCCTTATTAGACACCAGTTCTCATGGGCATTTCCACCAATTGTCCCTTTAGTGGAAAATCCCTTGATCATCTGAGGTCGATCTGTTCTGTCACTAAATGTGTACTTAAAGAACCTGATGGCCTGATTCAGCACATTGAGTGTGAAATAATCTTTGCCTATCAGGTCTGAAAGACACAGTGACACCTCGGTTGGAACAATGCCTTCCAAGATATCGTGCAAGATGTCAGGAGGGTACCCACTCACCACATGAAAGTGCTTAAGATTTTGAGTTAAAGGACATGCTCCTTTCCCCTCGCACCTCTTGCACCTGCCTATCGTGGGACTCTTTATCTCGCATGTGAAAGAAACCAGAACATACCTCATGCTGTTGAGTGTCACTTTTACTGGCTGAACAGAATCTGCAGAATTTCTCGACACTGAAGCTCTCCAAGAATCCTGCAAGAGAGTGAGCAGCAAGATTGTCAGCTGCAACATACAAAACAGTACCTTTGACACTTGCACCTAGCTGCTCCAGGAAAATGCCATTTTGCTCAACAAATTGAAGATCATAGATCAGAGGTTGCAGTACTTTTGCATAACCACACTCTTTGACTGTGGAGGTGTTGCACAGTAGAGCTAGCTGGATAGAGTTAAGGGTGGATCTATATTTTGCTGGTATGTTCGCAATAACCCAGTAAACTGCACACATCTTATGTTTCAACTTTGATGTTCCAAGAGGATTGGCTACTTCAAAGTCGTCAATGTAAAGGCCAAGAGCAATTGTGAACTCATCCTTTGAAAGAAGTGAATTTTCGCTGAAGTACTGCCCATCTGCATATGACCTGTATTCCTGTGGGACATGGACTTTCTCTGACATAGCTTTGTCTAAAACATCAGTTTTGTTAAGCAACTTCTGTAGCATGGGAACATATGCAAGAGGTTTTTTGCCTTTTTCCACAACATATTCAATTGGATTTACCAGTGGAAACTCTCTGCGCACATAGGCTGCTCTTTTTTTGGCAGTTCCTAAAGGTCCATCTTTGGAACAATGTGACATCATGTTACTTTCTGACACAGCACTGATAATCTCTTTAACAAAGGTTTCATCCATGTGACAGTTATATTTGCTTAATAAAGTCCTGACTCTGTTTTGTAGAAGTGGTTGTGACAGCTGATTGATTTGCCAAAGCTGTTGTACCACATCTTGCACAGCACTCTCTGGTATGTGCAAAACAGCTTGCATCTTTAGTAGAAGAGATGCTAAGTTGTGCTCAAGCTGTTTTTCTAAATCATGGAGATCACGGTCACTGTCTACCTCACTGACCTCGTCTATGTCTTGAATATCATCTGCATCTGACATTTGCTCTTGTGCAGCATCACCATCATGACTTAAAACATCATCACCAACGATTTCTGACTTAAACCTCTTCCAGTTCTGTTCGTTATGTACTTTGCTCTTGTGTGCTTTGAACGTGGAGTAAACACTGCTTTCAAAGTTACTGTCTTTATAGGGACATCTGACCTTATGGTTTACTTTTAGATGCACAGAATGCAGGTGAGTGAAAAACTCACTCTCTGAACAAGACTCAGCAAACTCACATGACTGACAACTAAACTTAACTAGTCCATCTGCTAGTTGCTGATATGCAGTTTTGGTATGAATGCGGGAAATATGCACTTTAAGTGCATTTAGTGATTTAAACGTACACAGACATTCCTGGTGTAAACAAGGAAATGGCTCTATTCTCCCGTAACTTCCATGTTTGAGCCTATAATGTTTAAACAGCTTTGCTCTCTTTTCACAGCTAAAAGCACAATACTTGCACTTCCAAGTCATTGTGTTTGAATTCTGTTTTGAACAGTTTTTCTGTAGCGTCTGAACATTGAAACTGTGGGTTTCTAATGTTCCCTAATTAGCCAAAATTACCCTGAATGTCCTTTTGACGGCCAATATGGGCAAATTTATGAACTTACCAGTTGTATTAGCACAGCAAAGAAAAGCGACTGGACGGCGTTTCCTCTCTCCCTGCACGCAAAGAGCCCGCCTCGCAGAACACCGCCGTCTCAGTCCAGATCCCGGTGTGGTATCTAGACGGTAAAAGTCTTTACTGTGATGTTTTATCGCTCACATAAAGCTACTAGAGTGAGAAAACTAGCTCTATCATAGGAAGCAGGCTAAGCTGAGCGATGAAAATCGAACAATAGAAAAGTTTCCACTGCTAGCACACAACCCCTTCCCCACCGAGGAACAGTCGGCTAGTGGACAGCCAGCTAGCGCCTTAAAATGTCCGTCGGACCTGTTAACATTAAACGTCTTCCCCCACAAAGAAAAAAACAAAAAGTCCAGTTGCTCACCAGTGGTTCCTCGAATTCACGCAACAGCATTAACGGTTATAGTATGGTCGGAGAGCTGTCGGACTCAACACGGCGGTCTGGCTTGGACTGTGTGTCGAACGCGGTCACTGCAACTGCAAGGGCGTCTCAACTCAGTGGATTTGAAAAAGAGGCGTGGTGTAACAAAAACTTGGAAGTTTAAGGTCATTTGACTTTAAATTATTCATACATTCGCCAATAACTGTTGATGAGTAGAATTCACTCAGGACTGTTTAGTAATGGCATGTAACTTAGATTTTTCCTGTGTATTGCAATTAAATCTTTAATTAGATATAAAATCCGGGCAGTGTGGGAAATGTTCCTGCATAATGTTTGCTAAGTAGTATATTCCCTCATGGCTTGAGGTGCTCATAGGGAATAGCCACACGGCAAAACACACACATAGCAGTTCACTAGGTAGTGTATTCCACTGGGGCCAAGGTGCTTCAGGGGAATGGCCACACGGTGGCCAAGGTGCCAAGCCAAGGTCACACATAGCAGTTTCGTCACTAAATAGCGTCAGGCTCCAGTCCATGCTGTTTTGGGGGTTAAGGTATTTGCCCATCACTCCCCAATATCTCTATGTAAACATATCTCCAGGGGGAGTGATGAGGTCGGAGCCTAGATGCCAAAATCTAAATATGCTATTCTGCTTTAATAAACGTGAGTTGGCTGACTGAAATGGAGCGAAGCCTGCAAGCTAGTTCAGGCAGTCAACTCGAGCTGCGCTGATATGCACATGACATGCCTTATTCCATAATCCCTAACCAAGCGCACCCTTCCAATCTGGCGGTCTATTTAAACTGCACAGTTTCCCAGCTCTCCCTCTGCTCTGTCAATGCCGCTGTTGCCCTGCATCCGTATTACTGCTGCTGCTCTTTAAGCTATTGCTGCCTGCTGCGCTGTAAGCCCCACCACCACTTCAGCATCCACCTGTAGGCTCCGACTGGGGGTTAAGGTATTTGCGCATCACTCCCCAATATCTCTGTGTAAACATATGTGTGGGGAGTGATGAGGTCGGAGCCTAGACGCCAAAATCTAAATATGCTATACTGCTGTAATAAACATTTCAAACGTGAGTTGTCTGATATGCGATATGATTGACATTTAGTGGGAATGATAATTTTTACATCATAATTTTTTCATTTCATTTTCACTGAAAAAAACTAACAAACATGATTTGTAGACCTTGATATCTCTGCAGCTCTTCAGTACTTCATTATAATGCTGTTATCAAAGAACTGCTGCTTCTGCGATTTGTATATTGTACTTGGCCATATTGCAATTTCAATAAGATTTAGATTATTTGTGCAGCCCTAGGTGATATGTGCCAAATGTGAGGTGATGTTTTAGTAAAACTGGGTATACAAGGATTAAGCTTTAAAACTCTACACAACTTGCATGCAACAGACAGTACAACCTGCTATAATTGTGGCTCTTGTGATCCTGTTCAAACCTAATCTTCAGAGTTGGATCATTTGCAAACTGAATACATAATTACCCTCTGTTAACATGTCTCCTCCTCTCTTAAATGTTTATGCAGTGAGGGGAGAGGTACACCTCCTCATTGCACAAATGACAAGCTGCAACTCTAGCCTGCTGCCTCTGTGTGGTGCAGTATGTGTTTGGGGCAGTATGCGTCACATCGGATCCTGAAAAACAGCAGCAAAAGCTTCAGTAAATGTGTCTGACAAAATCACGAGGAAAGCATAATGATATACACAATTCAGTTTTACTAGATTAAAATGTGATGGTTATTTAGAAA